TGAGCTTTTCACATCTGAGCCATTGGAGCTGACCAAAGAAAGACTCCTTGAGAGGTGAACGGGAAAGAAAGGATGAGAAGAGGAAGAAAGAGGAGACAAATGGAAGAGTGAGAGGGGGAGGGAGGAAAGAAGGTGAGAAGGGGGAGAGGAAGGTGAGGGAAAGGATAGAGAGGAGGAAGGGATGGAGGCAGGAAAGAGAAGTATAAAGAAGACTAGGAGATGGAGGAGATGGGTGAAAAGGAGAGAAGGCAGAGGAGTCAGGCAGGACAGGGGCCAGAGAAGGAAGCACACACTCCGCTTTAGGCTCAAGGACTTCTGGGTTGGCCAAAATACCCAAGAGAATGGTTGCAACCAGCCTGGGGCAGTCAGGACACGCAGATGAGATCACCGCTAGGGGGCGGAGCAGACACACTCCCAAAGACCACACCCCAGACTGCACTTGGCAGGGTGTGAGAATTCCTAGGCTGTCCCTTAGTGTGACCTAGAGCCAAGGTCAGTACCTGCCTGGGCAGGCTCACAGCAGCATGTGTCATACTGGAAAGCTTAGTTCGGACCCCTAACCCATCCCCACTCCCAGGGGCCCTCAGTATAACCCCAGTGGCTCCTTTTCCCCTGGCCACCAGGGTACTCCAAGATCAGAGGTGGCTGGAAGCTGGGAATGGAAACACTAGATTCCCGTCTCTTGGCCTTCTGCATAACCTTTGCCCATAACCTTTGCCCATATCCTCCTTAACAGGTTCTCTGTTAAGGAGGAAGGCCTGGGAACCATCTCACAGGATTACACAGCGGGCACAATGATATAAGGGCAGACGTGGGTGGCATCCTGATTCCCACAGGAAAAAAAGTGGCCCAGCTAAAGCTCATCTTGGCATAAGGCTAGTCAATACTGAGTGAGAAAGTGGCAAAGAGGTAAGGGGGCACAAGAGACTTCTAGAATGGTTTAGCCTTGGGGTCCACGGTGTCTGCAGGTCTAGGATGGAGACCTGAACAGGGAGTTCGGGGGATCTGAAGCTCTGGATCTGGGTTCCAGAGGGCCTGGATGCTTGTAATTATAGACAGTTTTGACATCCTGGGTTCCAGCGTTTCTGAGGACACAGGTGGACAAAATGTCCTAGTATCTGTGTACTGTGGCTCCAGGGGCACTAAGCCGGCCTGCAGGTTTGTCCCATAAAGCCAACAGCTTCCCAGACGTAGGGAGGGACGGAGCTTGTAACTAATGCCGTGCTTGGCTGAGTGACCTCAGTTCAGTCCTCCTGCTCAAGGGACCTTCTCATTATCGAGGTTCATGGTCCCCGGGGGTTCTGAGACACCAGGGGCCAGCCACAAATACCAGAAGCTTTGGGTCATCTCTGTGATGACTCCCAGCCTACAAATTCAATCTAGAGGCCAAGATCCAGATCCCAGGATTATGCACCTCAGAATCCAAAACTAGACACTGTAGTCTAGGTGCTCAGTGCGAGCTCTACAGCAACACTGTAGCAATCAGAATCAGAAGCCCCGAGATATCTTGAGTCCAGACTTTTTAAATTGTTTGTTGAGACAGTGTTTCACCATACCTCAGGCTAGACAGCCCAGGCTGGACTCAAACTTCCTATCTTCCTGTCTCTACTTCCTAAGGGCTGGGATTACAGAACACGGATTGTGACTATGCTGGGCCTGGCTCGGTGCAGGCTGTTTTGCTATTGTTGCTTTGTTTTTGTTGTTGCTGTTGTTTGAAGCAAGTCTCAGGTAGCCCTCGCCTAGCCTCAAGCTCACTGGTGTAGGCAAGCATATCCCGAACTTCTGATCCTCCTGCTTCAGCCTCCCACGGGCTGAGGTTGCAGGCCTGCACTATTATGTCTTGTTTTTGTGGTGCTAGACACAGAATCAAGAGCAATTGGAGGAAGAGGAAGAGGAGGAGAAGAAGGAGGAGGAAATTACATCAGAAGAAGAAAGAAAGGATGCAGAATACAAGCCTGAGACCTCAAAAGTTTCCCACAGTTCTGAGTCCAGGATACAGATGACTCCAGGCACTGGAGCTCAGATTTCAACAGTAAGCTCTCTAGGGTGGTAACACGGCTCAGTTAACACAGTGTTAACAATCAAGCTGAGTTCAATATTCAGAACCTGTGTAAAAATCCAGCTGGAGTTTATAATCCAGTGCTGGAGAGATGGGGAGAGGTGTTCTCTGGAGCTGGCAGCCAGCTTAGGTCATCAGGGAGCTCCAGCCCCCACTGAGAGACTCTGCTAATGAATAAATAAATAACAAAAACAAGATGGAGGGACTGGAGAGACAGCTCAGTAGTTAAGAATACAAACTGCTCTTCCAGAGAACCCAAGTCTGGTTCCCAGCACCTGTGTCAGGCCAACCAATACCACCTTCTGTAACTCTAGTTCCTGGGGATCCAGTGCCTCTGGCCTCATGGTCAGCTGTACCGGTACTCACATATGCGAGCATACACATAATAAAAAACAAAAATAAATGAGGTGAGCAGTGATTTAGGGAGAAGCCACAGCTGATATCTAGCCTCCACATGCACACACACACGTGCAACTTAGTAGATTTTAATCAGTGAAATAAAATAGATTAGAACTCAGGAGGCAGAGACCTCTGATCTCTGAGATCAAGGCCAGCGTGCTCTACAGAGTGAGTTCCAGGGCAGCCAGGGCTACACAGAGAAATCTTGGAAAAAAGCAAAACAAGTAACTAAACTTCACACTTTAGACTTCCTGTCGTGACAACCAAATCTGAGACCGCCCAAGTCCATATGCTAACATAAATCCAGATCCAAGGTGGCATGGTGGCACACACCTGTCCTCACAGCCTTTGGGAGGCTGACACAGAAGGATCTCGAGTCCAAACCCAGAACAGCCTGAGCTACTTAGCAAGAACCTGTCTCAAAACAACAAAACAGAACCAAAACTCCAGAACTCTCTCCCAGGCCCAAGAAGCATAACTTTGGAATCTAGCTTCCATGGCTATTCCCAGAATGTCAAGCTCTTTATTTCATGTCTTCCTGTTTTCTGCTCTTGCCCTCCTGTCTCCTCCCCTTGAGGGAACTGCCCCTGGGTGGAATTCCTCCGTACAGACTCAGACAATGGCTTCAGACTAATAAACGCTCATTAGACCAACCTAGTCTCACATGGCACCTGTCACTATGGCGTCCAGCCTGTAAACCTGACCCTCCACTGCCTCTCTCTCAGCTCTACCCAGCCCCACCCCCAGACCCAGGCTGGGCTAGGAGCTTATAAATGCAGGCTTTCGGGTGTCTGCTCCCCCTCTGGCATGTCAGCTGCCCTGGATGTCACTGGAGGACCCGGAGGGGGTGAGATCTTTGAGAGAGAACTTGGGAAAGTGGGTGAGGGTGGAGAGGGGCCTCTGCAAATGCCTTGGTCTCCAGGAGGCACAGACTATCCTAGAGGACCAGCTGTCAAGGGCACTGGGTCTACTGTGTTCTTTTCCTGTTGTTTCAAGTTGAATCTGAACCAAGAAAATGTCTTGAATCTTCTAGAAAAAGCCTGGGCTGAAGTGGGAGGAGGGGATGAGGTGAAGTGAAGGGAGGACATCCCTGAAAACATTTGTCTTGGAGCCAAGGACACGGTCAGCAGTTATCACAGGTCAAGTCAGTTCAGAACAACCTCCCACAAGTGGCCCCAGTGCCAGGTCCCAGGCTGGACAGCCATGCGAACAGGAGGGTCTGACCTGAAGTCCATCCTTCTCTAGGATAAGGAGTGGGGAGCAGCCAGATCTCTGCAGTCAGTGCTACCGTGCAGGGGCAGGATGGATGCCATAGGATCTTAGGGACATCCCCCTGGATTACCGTGTCTTGGAAGACTCAGGCTGAGCTGAAAGAGTAAATAGCAAGATGGAAGATGAGAAGGACTTAAATTCACTTTTCTAAGCATCCTGAGGTCTCTCCATGGGCGAGACCCTCACACTGGGTGGTACTTGAGAATCTAGGCTCAGTCAGGTGGGGTCTGCTCAAATGGAGTCTGAGAGGTGGAGGTTGTCAGAGAACTTCAAGAGGAGGGATAGGCTGAGCGAAGTCCGGATGCGAAAGTGCAGGGCCAATGTCTGACCCTGGCTATGCTGAGGACAAGATCACAGAGATCCAAGTAGGCAGGCTGGAAGAGGAGGAGGCATTTCTGTCCTTCTATGTACTGCTGAGGATGTGAGACTTTATTTAGGGGCTATCAGAAGGAACTATCACAGCTGTGAGAGACTGTGAGCAGGAGAAAGGATTCCTCAGCTCTGGTGTAGAAAGACCCTGCAGAAGCCCAGTGTGGTGGTGAAGGCCTGAAAGTGGAAAGTTCAAGGCTAGCCTGGGAAGCTTAGTGGGACCCTGTCTCAAAATGAGTAGTAAAAAGAGGGCTGGGGATGTATCTTAGTGGTAGAGCAATTTCCTAGAATCCACCAGTGAAAGGCAAGGGGTGTGGCTCAGTGCAGTAAGTTATCCAGCATAGGTCAGGCCCCAGTACCCAAGAGGAAGGAGAGAGGAAAGAAAAAAGGAAGGGAAGGATGGAGGGAGGTTAGCTCTCTAGGGCTTTGTGTACAGGACAGACTACAGGAGTACGAGACTTAAGAGGACCCATGAAAGCTGCATGGAGTCCTGACCCTGGACCATGGCGATGAGAGAGACACCCGTAGGGCTATTGGCTAATGCTGGGGTCTCTGCCAACGCCGCAAAGAACAGAGGACCCTCCAGAGATAGGGACCAGGAGGGAACACGGGTGGAGGCTGTGAGAGATGGAAGGCGGGCCAGGAAAAGTAGATTTCCTGGTCTAGCATCATGCCATCCACCTGTCATCTCACCAGTCTGGAGGCCGGAGGATCATGAGTTTGAGGCCAGCCTGGGACATCTAGGAAAACACTGTCACAAAAGACAAAAGAAAAGTGTGTCATACACAGAGGATGCATTCCTGCCTACCGGGATGGCAATGGGGACAGATGGATCCAAACTTTACCCCAGTTTTTGTCATCCCTGCCCCTTAGATCTCCAAGCCCTGGACCTTCCTCTACAATGTGGCCTCTCCTTGCTTTCGTCTTGCTGGTGTCTGCAGGTGAGGGACACCAAAAGTCAGGTACTGGTCTAATCAAAGAGCGTGCCCCTTTCCCCAGAGTGTCTGCAACCTGCCACCTACTAGTCACGATTCACCTAAAGATTCACCTAAAGACCCCTTTACGATCCTATTCCCATTCCATCTGAGCCACCTGCTAAATGTCCCTGACTCCTCAACCCTCTCAGTCCTCAGAAGTTCTGGAGGTGCTGGGCCAGCTCAGTCCTTGAACCTGAGTCCCATCACTGTTCTTTATTGCTGTGTAACCTTAGAGAAACTCTTTTACCTCTCTGGGCCTCAAGTGCTTTCTACCTGTGACAGTCATGGTGAAGTCCTAATTATGTCATGTAGGCGATACACAGGACAAGCAAACAGGATGGTTGAGACACCAAGAGAACAAGATCTAGGTTTGAATCCTGTGGCTACCAGTTCCCCAGCTCTGCAGGTCTACTTTTCCAACCATAGGATGGAGGCAACCGTCCTCCACTAAGAATCCAGTGCAGTGTTCCATAATGTGTGTGAGCACGCTGGAACCATTTGGCCACTCCAGGCAGGGTACATAGCATTCACACACAACGACCGTGTGAGGAGGAGTGGATAAGTTTTTGCTGTGGAATCATGAGGATCTGAGTCGGATCCCCAGGACCCACATGCCAAAGCAGTACTATGCCTGTACAATCCCAGAGGTGGGCTGTGGAGACAGGGGGATCCCTGGGGCTTGCTGGCTAGCAGTCCAGTCAGTCTGTAAGCTCTATGTTCAGTGAAAAAAAACCTGTCCCCAAAATAAGGTTGCAACTGGTGAAATGGCACAGGTAAAAGGCGCTTGTGTCAGGCCTGAATAATTAGGTTCAGGGACCCACAGGGAAAGAACCACTATTGCCTTTCTGTACTAGGGAGCAGGTTAGAATCAGGGATGGCCTCTAAACCAAGGTCACCCTGGGTGACAGGCCAACTCTAGACCAACCTCTACCACATCTTGTGGAAATTTTCAATGTAACCTGATGCTTTGTGCCCTGGAGAAAATTGGGGGGGGGGTGTCCATTTAACGATCTCTCTGCTCCCACATGAACTCTGCCTGGGGCTCTCAGCCCTCCCCCCTGGCAAACCTCCCCTTGGGCTTTCTCTGTGCTCTGCCCCTGCTGTCTGCTGCACCCAGCCAGAGCCTCCGCCCTCCTCCAGCTGGGACCGGCTAGGTGCAGCCCGATGCCCAGCTGTTCCGCCAGTGCCCTCCTCCACAAGGCAACCTCACCCTTCCTCTGCTAAGCCCCTCATCTGCTATATCCGCATTCCCGCAGCCTCCTGGGCCCTTTGGCCCTTTTCCTGACCTTGGGAGGCAGAGGGCAGAGTGTGAGAGCTTGGTTGTAACAGTCCAGCTCAGGAGTGGGTGTCTGTCATCATGATCTTGACCTTGGAGGAGTGAGCAGGGCTTTGTTCAGAATAGAGAACCGTGGCCTCAAATTTCCCAATTATGCTAATATATATATATAATGCTAATATATATGCTAATATTATATATATATATATATAATGTCTCTCTGTCTCTACCTCTCTCTCTCTGGTCTGTCTCTCTTCTCTCTGTCTCTGTCCCTCTCTCTGGTCTCTGTCTTTGTCTGTCTATCTGTCTACCCCTCTCCTTCTCCCTCTTCTCCCCACTCCACCCTGTGTGTGTGTGTGTGTGTGTGTGTCCGTCCCTGGATGCCAGAAGAAGGTGTCAAATCCCTTGGAGCTGGAGTTGCAGGTAGTTGTAAGCCACCATGTTGGTGCTGGGAACTGAACTCAGGCCCTCTGCAAAAGCAATACCAGCTCTTAAACACTGAGCCATCTCTTTAGCCCTCCACCTTTCTTTTTCTTTTTTCTCTTGTTTGAGACAGGGTCTCTCCCAGACCTCATCATTACAGTAGCTGGTCAGACTGCCTCCCCTCCCCCATACCCAGCACGGGGTCGGGGTGGAGGGGCTAAAGGCATATGCTGCCACACCTGGCTTCTTATGTGGGTGCTGGAGACCCAAACTCAGTTCTTTATGGGGCAAGCACCTTACCCAGAAAGTCGTCCCCAAACCTAAGCAGGGATTTTCTTTAATGAACAAAGGGAGGAGGGCCTGGGTGAAGCCTACAGTGAAGACAGGGTGAGGAGGGGGTGGGAATGCTGAAAAGGCCCGGCTCAGGGAGAGATCTGCCTGTGTCTCCCCACAGCTCAGGATGATGATAAGGTGCTGGAAGGCGAGGAGTGTGTGCCCCACTCGCAGCCGTGGCAAGTGGCCCTCTTCGAACGTGGCCGATTCAACTGTGGCGCTTTCCTCATCTCCCCGCGCTGGGTGCTGACCGCTGCCCACTGCCAAACCCGGTATAAAGGGTGGGGGCGGGGCGGGGACGGGGCGGGGTCCTGAGGGATGTGGCTGCACCTGGGAACTGAGGGGCGGGGAGGCTAGGGCGATTCTGATGCTGTAGGTCCCTAATGGAGAAAAAGAAGGACGCAAACGTCCCATCTTCTGAGGCCCTGATGGGAGAGGGGTAGCGAGGTGAGAACTTTCTGTTCTGAAGAAGGAACAGGGTGAAACCTGGAGATTGAGTTCCATGTGTGTACCTGATTTGGGACTCCTGGATTGATTGATGATTGATTGATTGATTGATTGACTGATTGATTGGTTTGAGACAGAGTCTCACTGTGCAGCCCAGGTTACTTACTCTAGAACTCCCTCTGTCGGCCAGATTGGTCCAGAATTTACAGAAATCTACCTGCCTCTGCCTCTGCCTCCCAAGCGTTGGAGTTAAGGGCTCCACCACACCCTGCAACTCCTAGGTTCTGGAGGGGTCATGGCTGAAACCATTGGCATCAGGGAAAACGTTCTCAGCGGGTGGGAAGATCCCAGGTTACCCGCTCTTTGACCCCCGTGTACTCCCTTCCGGTAACTCTTCGCTCTCCTAGCTTCATGAGGGTGCGCCTGGGCGAGCACAATCTCCGCAAGCACGATGGCCCAGAACAGCTGCGGTCTGTCTCTCGCATCATCCCGCACCCGCGCTACGAGGCTCGGACCCATCGGCACGACATCATGTTGCTGCGACTTCTCCAGCCAGCCCGGCTGTCACCCCAGGTGCGCCCCGTGGCTCTGCCCACGCGCTGCCCGCTTACCGGCGAGAACTGCGTGGTGTCAGGCTGGGGCCTGTTATCAGACAACAAGCCTGGAGCCCCAGGGAGCCGGAAGTCACAAGGTGCGTGGAAGGATGGAGCTGGGTGTAGGAACCCCGGGAATGTAATCCCGCAGGGTTCTTGGGTGGAGGGGACAATGACCAAAGGGAGGGAATACATCCAGGCCGCCTGTCCTCCTCAGTGAGACTCCCGGATACGCTGCACTGTGCCAACATCAGCATTATCTCCGAGGCATCTTGCAACAAGGACTACCCAGGTCGCGTGTTGCCCACCATGGTGTGTGCCGGCGTCGAGGGCGGTGGCACGGACTCTTGTGAGGTCAGAGACAAGAGGAAACTTTGAGTAAGAGGAGGGAGTGGGGCTGTGAAACTCCAGCTGGAGAGGTGGCTCAGAGGTTCAGAGTACCGACTGCTCTTCCAGACTCCATATTCCCACCAACCACATGGTGGCTCACAACCATCTATGTGATCTGGTGCCCTCTTTGGGCATGCAGGTGTACATGCAGATAGAGCACTCATATACATTAAATAAATAGATTTTTTTTTTTTTAAGGAGGGAAGGGATGTAGCCTAGCTTGATTTTTTTTTTTTTGCTGTGCTAATATACTGTGACTAAAAGTAACTCGGGGAAGAAAGAATTTATTTAGTTCACAGCTTATAATCCGACATTGAGGGAAGTCAGGGCAAGACCTTAAATGTGAACCTAAAGCAGAAACCATGGAGGAATGCCGTTATGGGTTGCTCACTGGCGCCTGTTCAGCTAGCTTTCTTTCGCTCTCTTTCTTTCTTTTTCTTTCTTTCTTTCTTTCTTCCTTCCTTCCTTCCTTTCCTTCTCTCTCTCTCTCTCTCTCTCTCTCTCTCTCTTTCGGTGGATGAGTGTTTTGCCTGCGTGTGTGTCTGTGCACCACGTGTGTGGTGTGTGTGGTGCACATGAAAGCCAGAAGCGGCGTTGGGATGGAAAGCACGGACGACTGTGAACTGCCCGTGGGTGCTGAGAATCAAACCTGGGTCCTATGCAAGGGCAGCCAGTGCTCTTAATTGCTAAGCCCTCTCTCTATGTCCTCAGCTGGACTTCTTGTACAGCTAAGGCCCATTTGCCTAGGGATGGTACCACTCACAGTGGGCTGGACCCTCCCAGTCCAAGATGACTTCCCAAAGACAGTTAGGTATAGGATGAAGCTCCAGGATCCGTTAGAATCATAGTGAGACTCAAAGTGGACTTAGAGATGGGGACGTGGGGTAATTGTATAGCCTGGGAAATCATGGAGTGGGGCTAAGAAAGACAGTGAGTTTGCTTCAACTCAGGATGGGAAGTACGTTGTAATAGGCCTGGGGTGGCAGGGGTGTGGGGGAGGGGTGAAGAACATGCAAAGATTGGAATTGGGTTGTGTTTGGTGAGCACAGGCTTAGCTTGATTTTGAATGGGGGAGATGTATGGACTGGAGGGAATCCAACTTGAACATGGTGGGACTGGGTAGCGCGAGGCAGAGCTGAACACCGGAGAGTCAGCGCTTCCGGATTGTGTTGAATCAGAGCAGGTTTGGGTTGGTTCCGGTCAATGTTGGCGTGCCCTAGGAAGGGGTTGGTTTGAAGTTTCATCGAGATGAAGAATAGTGGTTGGTTAGAATGAGGGTGACAGTAGGTTTGGGGTGTAACTCAGTTGATAGAGTAATGAATGAACGGCCTAGCATGCGCAAAACCTGCCCGTCTCCAACACCTTGTAAACATGAGTGGTGGTGCACACCTGTTGTCCCAGCACTTGGGGGTTGAGGCAGGAGGATCGTGAAATGAAATATTGAGGAAAACCCCCTTTTCTCCCGACAGGGTGACTCTGGAGGACCCTTAGTCTGTGGGGACGCCCTGCAGGGCATTGTATCCTGGGGTGACGTCCCCTGTGATACTACCACCAAACCTGGCGTCTACACCAAAGTCTGCAGCTACGTGGAGTGGATCCGGGAAAACATGAGAAGGAACTGACTCCTACCACCTAAGTCCCTCACTGACCACCTGGAACCCTGACTGGGAATTCCCATAACTGAGCCCCATTCCTGCCTGAGACAGAGCTGAGGCCCTCTGCATATGGACATACGCTGTTAGCCAGGGCCCTTCCCCCATGAGGTCACCTGCTTAATGCCAAGAAAACAGTGTTGACAGGGTTGTGGTAGTACACACTGTCCCAGTACTCCAGAGGTAGAGATAGGCAGATCTCTGAGTTCAAGGCCAGCCTGGACTACAGAGTGAGTTCCAGGACAGCCAGGGCTACACAGAGAAACCCTGTCTTGAAAAACAAAAAAGAAAATGAAAATAGGGTTAATCCAACTTTCTCTGTAGGAGTGTGACCTTTTTTTCTTTAGGGTACAATGGGAAATGGGTGGGAGACTAGGATACAAAGTCTGCTGTTGCCCAGGGTCCCCTTCCCTGGGCAGGAAAAAAAGGGTTCAGGAGCCTGACCTCACTCATCCTTGGTTTTCCCATTTGTGAAATGGGTTGTCACTTTTTGTCTCCTAGGGTGTATGTGAAGATTAAATGAGTCATGCATCTTAACGTATCAAAACTGTACCTGGCACTTTGTCACACTCATGAGCTAGGCGTCCCAGTGAGAAGACCCAATACACACTACATTTCCAAGATCCGCCATTATTGCTAGGCTTCCTGGTAACCAAGGCAATAAGGCAAACACTCTTTTCCTTGACCGCATTGATGACATAGAGTACAAGCTTGGACACTATGAGCTGCCTTTGCTGGTTGTATCCAGGTCTGAAGCGTGTGGCTCTACCATCAAGGATTTGGGAGTCCAGTTTCTGATTCTCTTCAGAGACCCCAAAATGTGACTCTTAGGGTCACTGAATGTTGACATCGTTGATTTTGGTCATTGAAATTGACAGATTAGATTGAGTGAGGGATTGTCGTTGCAACTTCTGATAATATTATTTTTACTACACATATTTATTGTGTGTGTGGCAATTAGAGGACTTATTTTGAGAGCTGGCTTCCTTCTACCATATGGGTCCCTGGGATTGAATTCAAAAGACAACAGATAGATAGATAGATAGATAGATAGATAGATAGATAGATAGATAGATAGATATTCTGAGGCTGGTGAGACGGCTTGGTAGACACCTTACCCAGTGAGCCATCTCACTGGCCTCAGGGTATTTTTTTATAATTATTTATTTATTTCATGTTATCCAAGGATGACCTTGAACTTCTGATCCTTCTGCCTCCACACCCCACAGGCTGGTTTTACACAGCACTGTGGCTGGAACCCAGGGTCCATGCGCTTTAGGCAATCGCTCCACCAAGTGGCCTGCGTCTCCAGCTCCCTCCCACTCCCACACACACTTCTTTTGGAAGGCAGGGGCTCACTTGGGTCAGACTGACCCAGGACTTGCTGTGGAGCCGAGCTGACGTGAACTCCTGACCCCCCGCCTCCACCTCCGGATTGCACTTACTGAGATTACAGGTGTGCGCCGCCATGTCAGGCTCTGTGGCCATAATCTTGACCAGAGAAAGCAGTTAGTACAGACCTTTGGGATTTTGAAAGACATGACCTTGAGAATTCTTATCTAGGAAACAAGGAATAGAAAGGTCGTTACGACCCCAAGACTGTTTAGGGTGGGCGACACTCCTCTGGGATGGATATATAAACATATATGCATATATGTTCATTTTTTAATCAAAGGGTGATCAGACTATGGTAATGTGTACCCTAACTTCTATTATTTTTATTTCGTTGGTTTGTTTTGAGACAGCTCTTTATATAGCCCTGGCTGTTTTGGAACTCACTACGTGGACCAAATTGGCCTTGAACTCACAGAGGCCCATGTGCCTCTGCCTTTCGAGTGCTGGGATTAAAGGCATGTACCACCATGCCCAGCTCCCAAATTTACAACAGGAACAATAAAATTAGTGATTAATATTCCAATCTAAGAAGGCTAGCACCTTGGCATTCTCAAAAACCAAGATTTGTATTGCAGGGAGCTTGTAGCCCTCTTGCCTACCACTAGTGCAAAGAATCTGATTTAACTGCTAGTTTCTGAGTGCATGCGTGGCCTTGAGGTCTGGGACATTCCTTAGAGCTTTGTGGTGGGATCACTTGCTCTTCCACCCTTCTAGTGCAGCCCTCAGCAGCACCTCCGACCTGCCGTTCTGCCTGTGGCCCCCAGAGCACACACAGCTGCGGGAGCAGCAGGACCTGCCCCACCCCGCCTCAACCCTGGGAAGGTATCCAGGGTGACCTAGGGCCTGCTGGACAGCAGGTGCACCGGGGCCCTCCCCTCCCACAGCTGGGAGGGTGGGAGCAGAGAGTCCACCTCCGGCAGCAAGGGCAGGGCCTTGGCCAGCATCTGGGTGCCAACAGGGCAGGGGCGGGGCTGGGGGAGAGAATGAGGGTTTTTAAAGGTGCCCCAAGGAGGCTCCTCAGCTCCAGTCTCACCGGCTGCTGCTCCTGAACACCTGTCACCATGTGGCTTCTGATCCTGTTCCTCGCCCTATCCCTGGGAGGCACTGGTGAGAACTCGGGCTAGCGGGAGGGGTCAGAGCCCTCACTCAGGTGCTCTCTTTAGCCCTGGCAATCCCCTTTCCATCTCCCCTCACCCCAGCTACATCCTGAAGCACACCTTCACCTCCCTCCCTGCCCCTGAACACTGCCAAGCTCTCACAGGCCTCACTACCATATCAGGCTCCTCTTCCCTCCCATTTCCCAGAACTCTCTCCTCTTCCTTAGCCACCTTACCATCTCTGGGCTTCTCCAGTCTTTCCAAGCAACCCAACCCCTTGCCAATCTTGTTCCTCTAGTTTGCTGTTTTTCTAGAACCCAATACTCCAGCTCTCCTGAGTTAGGGGCTTGCCCACATCCACACTAGAGCCCTTGGCGGTCCAGCAGCTGTCAGCCTTCAGCTGTGTCCTCCAGACCCTGACAACTGGTCCCCGGTCTTCTCAAGTTCCTTAGTTCCTGCCAACAGTCTTACTTCTCGTGGCACCAGATGGGTCCTCCCTTTCTGGTGTGGGGGATCTGCGCATGTCCCTTCTCACTGGCTTTTTGGTTTAGTCTGGTTTGGGGAGGAGCAGTCAGATGGCAGAAGCCAGAGATCGGCATCAGGTGTCTTCCTTAATCACTTGCCACCTTGTTTTTGAGACAGAGTTTCTCATGGAATAGAGAGCTCCCCCTTTGGCTAAGTTGGCCATCCAGCAAGCCTCCCCAGCACTGGGGTGATGGGCGTACATCTCCACAGCTGACCTATTACCTGGGTTCTGGGGGGCTGAGCTCAGGTCCTGATGTTTGCATGGCCAATTCTGTAGCAACCAAGCTGTGTCCCCAGCTCTTGAGGATAAGTTGTGAGGTGGGCTCTCATTATGTAGCCCAGGCTTGTCTCAATGACAATCCTTCTGTCTCAGCCTTCTGTGTACTGGGATTACAGGTAAGAGCCGCCATGGCTAGCTTGCCTCCTCTTCTCTGTTTCCAGATGCTATGCTTTGGCTCGATCTTTCCTCTCATACGTGCCTCCCACCAGCCCCTGTCCTGTCCCTCCTGAGCCCCACTGCACAGCTCTACTTCCCACTCTGTCCAGGACTCCCCAAAGACCCCAATACCTAAACCTAGCCCCCACATCAAGTGCGTCCTCCCGACCACCCCACGGTGGCCTGACCTGCTTTAACCCCTTTCCCACTCTTGTCCAGAGGCTGCCTCTGAGAGAACCCTAAACCTCTCCAATCATAGACCACCTGCCCCACCTCCGTGGGAAACAGAGCCTCACCTTCCCACCCCTCCAGGATCCCTTTCTCTCACTACATGTCCCATCTCAAACTCTGTTCCCAGGGAGCCCCACCCCTTCTAGATACCATCTCCACCACAAACCCTTTCAGGAGCCCACCTCTAGCCTTAACCCTACCCCCTCTAGCTGGAAACCTCTCACTCTCTCCCAGACCAGCTGCCCAGGAACTCCCAAATCATCCCAAGCTCTTTTTCCTGGGTTAATTTATTCACTCAGATCTAGTTCTCAGAGACCTCACCCTTTTCAGAACCCCCAAACCCCAGGCCCTGACTTCTTCTCGAGCCTTGGAAACCTTAAATGCCAAATTCCACTCCCACTGGGCTAAGCGCCACTGCCCTGCCAACCCTCACACTATACCCGATTCCTGTTTCAGGAGAGACACATATGGTCCCTTCCCCAGATCCCCTGACCACATCCCCTGATCCCAGCCCTGCTCAACTGTCCCCTGAGAGCGCGCCTCTCTCTCTGAGCCAATCTCACCCCCCACTGCCCTTTGCAGGTGCTGCGCCTCCCCTGCAGTCTCGGATTGTCGGAGGATCGGAATGTGAGAAGAATTCCCAGCCCTGGCAGGCGGCTGTGTACCACTACAGTAGATTCCTATGCGGGGGCATCCTGGTGAGCCCCAGCTGGGTGCTCACAGCTGCCCATTGCCACAAAGAGTGAGTAAGGCGGGGGGGGGGGCAGGAAAGCAGGGTGGCAGCGTGACAGCATGACTCCATGCCAGGCTGTGGTACTGAAGGGCAGGAGGATGGTACTGGCTGAAGGCTGAAAGAGGCAGAGCTGGGCTGGACCCTGGGTCTATCCAAGTCTTCCTGGGTCTCTCTGGGGTCCTCCCTCCAGGCTTGTCTTTGATTCCTGTTGCTTTCTTTTCTGTCTTATTGGCCTTGCGTCTCCTCTCTGTCGTCACATCTGAGTATCTCTGTGGCCATCTGGCCCTCTCTGGGTCTGGGCCTCACTTGTCCTGTCCATCACTACTGACCATACTGGAGAACAGGTCTAAGGATAGAAAGTGATGTCCCTGGATGTAGGTGTGAGAGGAGCCCTCGCTCTCCTCAGACCAGCTTGACCCTTAGGGCCTGTCTGCTCTGAGAAGGGCTGGTCTGAGCTGCTGCTGGATGAGGCAACTGAGGGAGTACAGAGGGAGAGCAGGGTTCTAGAGTGGAAAGAGAGCTCAGACCTTGGGCAGTGGGCCAGGCCTTACCTGCTGGGGAAGCTCAGCCCAGTCCCAGCTACAGCTGAGCAGCTCTCAGGCCCTCCCCCTTCTCGCTGTCCTTGTATTCTCTCTCTCTCTCTCTCTCTCTCTCTGTGTGTGTGTGTGTGTTTCTGTCTCTGTCTCTCTTTTCCTTCTTCCCTTCCTCTTTCCCTCCCTCCCCTGCACTCTGCCCAATTTGTCTCGTTGCCTCTCATTCCCTCCACTCTTTCCCTGCCTCCAGCAAGTACCAGGTTTGGCTAGGCCGCCACAGCCTATTTGAGGATGAACCCTCAGCTCAGCACCGGTTTGTCGACAAAAGCATCATCCATCCTGACTTCAACCTGAAGCTCCTGGAGAATGACGCCCCGAAAGCTAAGAAGGACTACAGCAGTGACCTGATGCTACTACATCTCAGCCAGCCTGCTGCGGCCACAGAGTATGTGAAGACCATCAGTCTGCCCTCTGAGGAGCCCAGGCTGGGGAGCACCTGCCTTGCCTCAGGCTGGGGCAGCACTGACCCCATCAAGTGTAAGTCTGGGCCAAAGCACACAGCCCAGAGAGGGACACCTGGGTCTGAGGGAGGGGCAGGGGAGATAGCGCTGGGGTCTGCTCACCTGCTTCTTGTCCTCCGGTTCACAGTCGTATACCCAGATACTCTCCAGTGTGTGAACATCACGCTCCTGCCCAATGAGGACTGTGCCAAAGCCCACATCCAAAAGGTGACAGATCTCATGCTGTGCGCAGGAGAGATGGAAGGAGGCAAAGACACTTGCGTGGTGAGCCAGCCCCTCCCTGCGGTGCTGAAAGAGGAACTCAGAGTCCTGATTCCCACTTCAACACCCCATCCAGGCAGGCGCTCCTCATCCTTCCCTGTGGAAGTGATGAGCTCTGGGAGGGGAGAATCCTGGTACTATTCCTCCTCTTTGACCTGGCTTCAAGGACTGTCCTGTCTCTCCTCTCCTCAACCCCATGTCCCTGTAAGAGCAGGCCTCCCAAGAGTGGATCCCTTTACTACTGACCAGCGCTGCCTCTATGGGCCCTAGCCTTCCTTCCCCTGGGAGTCAGTCCCAGGTTGTCAAGTAGAACTCAACTTCCAGGCCTTCCTCACTCCTGTCCCGCTCTTCTTTCAGGGTGACTCAGGCGGCCCGCTCATCTGTGATGGTGTGCTTCAAGGTGTCACCTCATGGGGCTATGCCCCATGCGCCGTACCCAACAAGCCAGCCATCTACACCAAACTTACTGATTTCATCTCCTGGATACAAGAAACTATAAATGAAAACTGAGTGTCACACTGTCCCCTGCTCCCAATAAAACCCACCATGCAGCAAATGAGCTCAAGTTCTGATATTCTCTGTCCTTCTGGAGTCAGGTACCAGCAAGGCCCAGTGAGCTGTGGTCAGGACTTCCAAAGTGGATCCGCAAGGGACAGGAGTACATGCACAGATGGCTAAAGGGATGAGCCAGAGACAAATCCTGACAAAAGGCTCAGACCAAGTCAGATGTCACATGAGTCTGCTCTGGCGAAAGAAAAGGCTCAGATCTCAAAGGTAGAGTCAGAGACATCAGGAAGTCCTGACCCTCCAGTGGAAGCACAAGGGGATGACAAGCAGTCAGACACTGAAAATTTGGACTGCCGACCTAGTTTTATTGAGTCGGGGAAGCCAGGAAGCGGGGCAGGCATGTTATATCAAGTCTTGACTTCCTAGGGAAGGGTCTGTCCACAGAAGGGCGGGGACTGCCCCCAAGGCTAGGTTGCAAAGTGTCCGTCTTTGGTCCCTGGAGGGGACATCTTGGGTGGGGCTGGACCAAAGGATGAAGAGTGGCTCAGGGGCGTGGCCTGTGGGGCGGAGCATCGCCCGGCCCGGGGAAAGCAGCCACACTGCTCCCGCTGCTCGGGACCATGGACCAGTGTCTTCACATAGGGACATAGCCGTCTCTGAGAGTGCTGGAGGACTTCCAGAGTGGGGTCCCTGCCAAAACTCAGGCCGCAAGGGGTGGACTCTAGCGCGGGGGCGGGGCTTGCCACCTGTCTCCCTAGGGTTCTTCCTGCTCAGGGGAAGTATGGGACCTCAAGCGAGGTCTGATGGAGACGGAGTCACGGGGACAGAAATAGAGGCATCTGGCCGCGGGGACTCGTCAGGATCCTGAGAAATTTCGAAGTCTCTCTGTTGGGGAGTCCCATGGTAGTTCACAGAGCTGCTTTCAGGAGAACGGGTGCGCTCTGAGCCCCTGTCCGAACTGCCGCGCAGTGGCAGGTGCAGCAAGCGGTGTCGTGAGGCCCAACGTAAGTAGCTGAGCCTCCGCTCCACGAAGGGCGTACTGTAGCTCCACATCCGCACTTGGCTGAGGAAGGACAGAGTTCCTGTGGGAAGGGACCCGGTGGGCACTCGACTCAGAGCCCCATCCCAAGCCCCACCCGGGCCCTGATGGTTGACCCCCTTTCCTGGGCTCCGCCCCTCCCCTGCCCAGGCCCCGCCCTTCCATCTGAGGCCCCGCCCTCACCGGCCCACAGCATCAAGACGCTGGCGCACCAGCACAGGTAGAAGGCCAGCTGGTAGGATACCTGTGGCCTCGGGCGCAGCCTACTGAAGTTGACAACAAAGAGCGTCAGGCTGAGGAAAATCAGGAGCCCTGCACTGGGGTGGGGCCAGAGAAGGACAGGAGGCTAGACGGGGGAACCCCTCCCCCCCCAGGAAGAAGAGACAGAGACAACCTCCCTGCCCTGCCCCAACAGGTAGACGAACGAACACACACACACACACACACACACACACACACACACACACACACACACACACACACACACCACTACCACCACCAACAACAACAAATTGAAACAGACTCAGAGGGGAAGGGAAAATGGGAGACTGAGCCATCAGCCAGGACTGGTGGACCTAGGCCTTTAATCTCAGCTATTTAGGATGCTGAGGCAGGAGAATGGCATATTCAAGGCCAGCCTGCGCTACAGAGAAAACCCAAGAGAGAGACAGAGACACCTCTGTCCCCCAGAGCAGCAGAACTGGAAGTGTAGCCACCCCTCTGGGTAGGAGGACGCTGTGGGGTGGAGTGGGGCTCCTCGGGCACACCTGTCCTTGCCAACACTTACCGATGCCAATGCTGAGGAAACTGAAGACAAAATCGATCTTGTTCAGGCGGCGGCAGACTGGTCGGAAGGAGAGGAACATGGTGGGCAGGAGGATGAGGCATAGTGCCAGGGCCAGAAATATGAAACCCTTGCTCATGTGAATGTAAACTGAGGAGGAGAGTTGGAGAGATAACTAGTTACCCCAACACTTCTCTCCCACCCCTCCCACTCACACCCTGAGGAGGCCAACCTAGTTACTCAGGTGGCTGGGGAGGAGTGCCATTGCAAAGCCTGCCTGAGCAGATTAGTGAGACCTAGACCCTGTCTGCCTCAAAATACAAAGTAAAAGAAGTCTAGAGTCCTGGGAGCACGGCTTCCCTGGTGGAATGCTTGCCTAGCACGGGTGAAGCCCTGCATTCCGTCCCCCGAACTGGGATAGACCGAGTGTGGTGGCGCATGTCTGGAATCCCAGCACCGGGGAGGAGGATCAGGGATTCAAGGTTATCCACAGCTACACATTGAGCTGGAGGCCAGCCTGGGCTACAGGAGACCCTGACCCAAACAAGGCAGAGAATGGAAATGTAGCTTAGTACTTGCGTATGATTCTCCAATGATGGGCTGGGGGCATGGCTCAGTGGTAGGGCCCCAGGGGAGTGTGTGTAAGGCACTGGGTTCTAGCTTCAGCACCCCAAAAACAAAAACAAAACAAAAAAATCACCCCCACTCACATCACCAAAATCAATTCCTAGAAATGTTTAAATAACTCTATTGCCACTCACAGAGTTACTCTCCAAAAACCATGATGCTCCCACTGTGAGCCCTGAGCTACTCTCCTAGAGAGACTTCTGGGAGAATTCCACTGGCCCACCTCCACAGTCACCTCTAGCACCCATTAGCAGGGCCCACAGCCTATGTATGCACTGACCAGTGACTTGGCCCACGTTGGCACACTTATGCCTCCTGCAGTCAATCCAGAGGCCAATGACACCAGTGTATGGACCATGCACATAGGCCATCCGACCATCCACCACGCTGAACACCAACATGGTCGCCAGGAAGATGAAGACGAGAGACCAGCCACGCAGGACCAACTTTCGGTCCTCTTCCCAGGAACAGAGCAGGTCAGCTGGGGAGGGAGAAAGTTCTGGGGAGCTGGATCTTTCTCCACTACCTCACTGCACACCAACCTCCATCCTCATCCTCATTTCTCTTTCCCCTCTAATCGACAACCACTCCCCTGTGGAAGCTGTTCCCAGCACATCTCCAATACCACTTCAACTCCTTCCATTCACACTGGCCTCTTCTGATGCAATCCACCTAGCTCCACCCAGTTGCTAACCCCCAACTCAGTGCTAGACCACCACGCATTCACCGTCTTAAGCCCTGTTCCTTTTGTGTCTCCAAGGGGCTTCTCCTACCTCTAAGAGCTGCCCTACCCCTCATTGAGGCCTCAACGTGGCCTGCCTCTTCTTGGAACACTAATTGGTTTGGATTTGGGTTTTGCTTGTTTTGAGACAGAGTTTCATGTAGCCCAAGCTGGCTTCTAACTCATTGCAGAGGTAAGGATGACCCTGGGCTCCTGCCCCTCCTTCCTCCCCCACCCACATGCTGGGAGAGCTTGTGTGCACCAACCCTTCGGGCTCAGGTGGTTCTGGGGATGGAACCTGGAGCTTTGCGTGTGCCCCTTGTCCCAGCCCTCATTGCTCACTTTAGCCTGGCCTTCCAGAACCACCCACCCATCAATGTCTCTTCTTTCCATCTCTTTCCCCGAGCTCAGCCCACCACAGTCAGGTCCTGGTCAGTCAGCCTGTTGGGTGTTTTCATGGTTCACCTTCACTGGCAAATCACAGGTTTATAATTAATTACTTGCTAATTGTTTTTCCCTCACCAATCCTCTGCAACAGTATTTCATGAGGGTAGAAAACAAATCTATTTTTCTCTCCAGTGTACTCCCATCAGTTAGCAGAAAGGCTCTATTTGTGGTACCTACTAAATAAAAGAAGTAATAAATGAATGTACGAACAGATGCATGCATGAATGAATGCACACTTGAGAAAATTTGTAAATGGATGCATGATTAATTATGTATGCATGGATGGATATGTAAATGAGTTCATGAGTGAACTCGTGAATGGATGAATGCATGCATAAACAGATGTATGCATTAATGGTACCAGAAATGGTTAACTCCTTTCTCATCCTTTAAAGCAAATAGTAGTTTTCAAAAGAACTTGTGCACAGAAGCCTAGAACAGGGAAGAGCTTGGTGGTCAACCGATCAGCAGCTCCTCATCAAGCCTGGAGTCAGGCTGGCCTGGCCTTCTTGGAGCTTACGGTGCACACATCAGATTTAATACAGATATTGCAAGTTGACATGATCTAGATGTCCAACAGGAGGGGGTGGGCCTGAACATGCCGCAGGCACACAGGAAGGAGGTGGCAAAGGCAATGTGTTTCTCCCTTTCTGCCACAGAACCCAGGCTGAACTCGTTTTGTTTTGTTTTGTTTTGTTTTGTTTTTGTTTTTGTTTTTGTTTTTAATTTTTGAGACAGAGTCTTCTTATGTAGGTCTGACAGGCTGGAACTCACTCTGTAGACCAGTCTAACCTGGAACTCACAGAGCCCCACCTGCCTCTGCCTCCCAAGTTCTGTGTGCCACACCCTATCCAGCTTCCAAACTAAACCCTTGACGGGGCTCCTGTGGGGTGCTGTGTGTGTGTGTGTGTGTGTGTGTGTGTGTGTGTGTGTGTGATTTCCTGGTTGCTGTTTTTTGAGAAAGGGTCTCACTAAGCCCAGGCTAGGCTAACCTCCATGCATAGCTTGGGATAACCTTATACTTCGGAGTTCACCTGCCCAGTGCAGGGATGACAGACATGCACCACTCTGCTGGTTTACAGAGGCTGGGGATGGAGCCCAGGGCTTCACCCATGCCAAAGGAACACTCTGCTGAGCTACAGCCCAGCCGTGGTTTTGTGGCTTGGGTTTGAGCATTTGTTTGTTTTTACATTTATTTATTTATTTATTTATTTGGTTGGGAAGGGGGAGCATGGATTCCAATCATCAGTTAAACTCAGCTCCTCAAGTCTTGGTAGCGAGTGCCTTTACCTGCTGAGCCATCTTACTGACCTTGGTTTTGCTTAGTTTTTGTTGTTTGTTTTGTTTGTTGGGATTTCAATATTGGCCCAGAACTCACTATGTAGGCCAGACTGACTTCAACATTCTGGTGATCCTCCTGCCTCAGTATATTTAATCCTGGTATTACAGGGGTACACCATCTAGTCCAGCAAGTGTTTAAGATTTAAACTGCTGTTGTTCAATTTTGAAATTTGGTTCCAGTAGCCAAACAAATATCTTAACAATGGGATATAGCACATTTCACTCCATTTTGGAATGCAGCTTTCTCTTACATTTTGGTGTTGAAACAGGGTCACCATGTAACTTTGGCCTACTTCGAGCTCACTATATATATCAGCCTGGCCTTGAACTCACAAAGATCTGCCTGCTTCTGCCTCCTGAGCACCAGATACTACCACACCTGGTACTAAGATATAGCTTTTACATCTTTAAAACTGGAATACATAATATAATCAGGCACATCTCAAAAATCATCTTTGACCTTTAAAAATAAAAAATAACCTTTACTAAGGCCAGGTGTAGAGATACACATCTCTAATCTCAGCACTTGGGAGGCAGAGGCAGGCAGATCTCTGTGAGTTCAAGACCAGCTTGGTCTACATAGTCAGTTCCAGGCTAGCGACTACTATGTAGAGAGACTCTGTCTCAAAACAACAAGCAAACACAAGAATATTACCTGGATTTTCAGTATTGCATAATCACTAAAATCTTATCAAGTTTGGCATGGTGGCACCTGTCCATTATTTCAGTACTTGAGAAGCTGATACAGAAGGATTGTTACAAGTCTGAGGCCAGTGGGGCTACATAGTGAGTTTAGGGCTAGCCAGGGCTAGATAGCAAGAAGATAGATAGATAGATAGATAGATAGATAGATAGATAGATAGATAGATAGATAGATAGATAGATA